ACAAATTTTACACTTTAAAATTCATCTTAGAAATGATGTCCTGTTTTTAAGAATATCATGCTATTATGTGTCATTGATTTGCCACTAAATAACCTTAAAAATAGAAATGTTTAGCCATATTATTTTGAGGAATATTGGCCATATCCTCATAAGTTTATCCCCTCCAAACTTTTTTGTATATATTTTATATATAACAGGATATCAATAGGCCAAACTGTTATGTCTTTCTTTTCAGATAAACAAACATTAAATGTTTAAAAATAAAATAGACTTTTAAAGTTAGTTTCTGGAAATAGCATATTGAGTGATAATTTGAATACCGAGGCACTGTAAACAAGCTTCATGAGCTTCTTAAAGTTGGAGACATTCGGTCTATGTGATGTGTATTTCGGCCTAGAATTAACACTAACAAAATATCTTTTTCCCTCCAACTGGTGACAGCAGAATAATATAGTAAAAAAAAATTTAAATATTGGTTCTTTTTAAGGTTCGCTCTATAATGTACAAAGGCCACAGAATGAAATAGATATGGCTTTCTCATGAACTAATCTGTTTAAGATGCAAAAACCACATCCCTTATATTTTTTGGCTTTGTTATAGATATTTGTTTCTGTGTTGGTGATACTTTCTTTTGAATTGTAAGTTGCTTCCTCAAAACATGCTGAAATACACAGACACTTTGAGATTTTAAAAGAATGTTTTGAATACAAGATACAGGAAAGATTGTATTAAACTTTATCTCAGAGAGGAAAGTTTAGGACTTGTCAATCACATACTCTTCTTCAAGCGTGTCTTCTAATTTTTTGACTTGCTCTTTGATTGACTTGGCCTGCTGTTGGAGCAGCTGCCTATTTTTGGGCCCAAGTGGAATCTCTGAAGCTTCCTTTACAAGGTTCTCAGCTTGGACTGCAATATTTTCTGTCCGTTTAGAAAACTCCTAGAAAAAAAATATTATAATCGTTAGGTAGACATTTTATGTTATTTAACTCTGCTCTTAAATAAATTGCTTATATTGCATAGTATTCCCCAGAATAGATGGATTTGTACATGTGTGGATCTCATACTTTACTTAACAATAAAGCTGACATTTCCATATGACCAAAATAGACCCTTTGCTAACATTTTTTCTTTTTACATACACAACCAGCTATCGATATTCATATTAATAGTTACCCAACAATTCTCACAAAAATGGTTTCTCCATTGTTTCCTGGCTTTGGTTTATTTCTTAGAATTCTTAGCTATATTATAATGATTAGCTTATCCACAAACATAGTAATTTATTACAGACCAGTTGAAAAAATACTCAATAGTGATTGATTTTTTTCAATCATAGAGATAATGGATTTCTAGGCCAATGAATAGAAATAGATGTTTCTTTAATTTAATATCTTAGTCAAAATAGAGCATCAGTGGCCCTATTATAAAGAAACATTTAGTTTCCCAGTTCCCTAAAAAGAGATATAATCTCATCTTAATGCTCTTATATCTTATTTATTACATACACATATGCAACATGATGGAAAGAAGGTAAATTTTGAACCAGTCAAGCCTAGGCCAGAATCCTGGATCTGCTAATCACTAGTTGTCCGACTTAGGTGAATTAGTTTTCAGGCTCTTTAATGTAAAATGCAGATGGTAATGCTTTTCTTGGAAGGTGACTGTTAGAATTCCATTAACACCTTCACTTTTATGTGCCTAACACTCTGGCAGGTACCAACTATTGTCCTACACATAAAATTGAGGACAAAATGGGTTATTAAGTCCATACACTGATTTTCAACAATACTGAACTATTTTAATTGAAAAGTTAATTTAATATGTATGAGACTGGTAAACTTCAGATGTTATCTGAATTTTGTCAAGTGAATATATTGAATACAGAATTAGAAACACCCAGTGATAACTTTGAGTGAAGAAAATTAACTTAGTGTCTCATTTCTTCTCACGTAAGAGAATCTCATAGGAGGTTTAAATTTTGATCATCAACTCCCCTCTCTTCAATGGATAATGTAGAAATCTAATGTAAATATTCTTAAAAATTCAGCTTTTTGGTCAGAGCATCTCCCAGAATTATTACACAATACCATATAAGATAGAGTTACTACATAATACTATTGTATCTTCATATTTGAAATACTTAATGTCCTCATAGAAATATAAATGTTACTTCATAGAAGTACCCTGCAATTTGAGAGAATAAAAATAAGTATAGCTTCCTTATGGTATAGAGACTTATGTATCCTAAAATAAGATACATGCTAATGTCACAATATTAAGTTCTGTGGTTAAAAGCACACACTATTACTATATGTGAACTTACGGTCATTGTAGATTCAATTGTGAAGACTGTGAACCACAACACGATTTCTTAGAATCCCAGGAATAGAATTGGAAGTATAAAATAAAGTGATTTTTTTTCCACTAGTGTTTCTCAGAACCCAAGAAAAAACATGGAGAAAGTAATATTTGAAAATGCTATATACATTCAATCTTAGAGCCTTTTGTGTGAGCTGTGTAAAGGGAAAGCACAATGCAGAGGAATCCAAAGACAGGAATGATGCTGATAAAAGCCAAAATTAAACAAAAATAGAATAACACTGTAAGGCCTTAACTCCAAGTCCTGAGAAGGAGACATATGAGTGGTAGCAGGATCCATCAGGAAAGAATTGACTCACATCAGATTGATCTGGCGTTGAAACCAGGCTCTGACCTTTTCTAGCTGAGTGACCTTGAGCCACATCTCTCTGAATTTCCATTTCCTCATTAGTAAAGCCATGCCTTTTTGTGATGATGAAACACGATATTGCTGTCAACACCCTACCACACACCAGCACACAGAGGACACAAAACCATTCCTTAGCACAACAACCACTCCAGGACTATCAACGGGAATAAAGATTGTAATAACAGTGCAAGGTGAAGAAAGAAGTAGAGGAGAAGTGTTCTAGATTATATGTGCTTATGTGGCAGTGTACATAAGCAATTAGTAAAGTGGCTCAGTTTTGGAATGAAAATATAATATAGAGGCTAAGGGCGTAGGCTCTCGACTGAGACCTTTTAGGTTTGAATCTCAACCCTGCCATTTAGTAATCTGGAGATCTTGGACAAGTTCATCACCGACTTTGTGCTTTATATGTCTATGTCCTTGTTTATACAACAGGATTAATAATGATAGCTATTTCTTAGGATTGTTTTGAGGATTAAATTAAGACGATAAAACATCAAGTAATTAGACCAATATACAGTGTATGTGCAATAAATGTTAGTTTATATTATTAAATCAATCCCAAAGTATGGAAGTTCATGGGCTAAGGAGAATTTTAATAATAAGACTAAAAAAGGTACATTTGTTTCATCTACAGACAAACAAATCTAAAGATATTAGGTAAATAGAATCACAGGGTGTCAGAAACCCTGGTTATAACCTTGGTAGAAACATACAAAAATTAACCCAACAGATGTCTTTGTATTTGTAATAGACACCTGATACATTTAACACATAAAACAATTACAATTAAAAATTTAAAAACTGTTCTATTTAAATGACTGATGAAAACTGTACAGAATTAAAGGAATCTGTAGCTTTATAAAACTTCAAACTCCTCAGTAAGTTAATAATGGGAGAAACAACAAAAAATAACACGAGAGACAGAGAAGCCTTTTACTGTTAAGGAAACAGAAGCACGAGGGATTACTTTCTAAAGGCTAAGAAAGGGTGGGTCCAAGGCTCTCCTTTCTTATATATCAGCTGACCTATTCCTATACCAATTCAGTCTTTCTATAAACTCAGAACATGTGCAATAGCAAACAAAAGGACCTCTAAATGCTTTGTACAAATTTATTTGTCTGCTCAGAGTGTCCACAGTGTTTGAGATCACAGGGTTAGGCTCACCTCAGACATCTACTAAATATTCTCTCTTCGATGCCCCATTGGAGCCTCAAACTCACTATGTCCAAAACTGAGTTGGTCATTGTTCCACATTAACAGCTTCTCCTTCAAGTTCCCTATCTCACTCTCATAGTCTCTCTCCAGCTCAAAACCTTGGGTTTCATCTTCTTTTCCTTCACTCTTTCTGGTTAGTTGCTCTATCTTAGTGTGAATTCCACATCTTTTGCATCTGTCCCCATACATCAGTTGCCACCCCCACCACCCTTATTTATGACCATATTAGCTCCCATATCTTCATATGCAATGACTTTCTAATTGGACACCATAATGCCACTCTTTCACATTTTCAGTCAATTTTCTACAGCTGCCTAGAAATTCATCTCCCTAAAGCACAGCTCTGGTTGTGTGACCCTCTTACTTAAAAACCTTCAATGGCTCCGGCTCCATTTTGTCTTAGAGAGTAACGCTTTAAGTTTCAAGACTGCGATATAGCACGACCTTCCTTTACAAATTCACTTCTCTTTATTCTATTTTCTAACACAGAATCCCCACATCAAACACTTTTATCCCTCATGCCATTCTGCCTTCCAGGAATGTCTATTTTCTGTTCCAAATTCCACTTTTGAAGTTTTACCTGCTCTTCAAAGTTAAGTTAAAAAAAAATTCATTGCCTCTCAATTTTTAAAAATCTATACATCTATTAGGGAACTAACCATTTCCCATTTTTATGAAAACTTTATCTTAGTTCTTGCTGTTTAAATCCTACTTATGTTTTCATTCCCCAGTGTGTTGGAAAAAAATGGGTCATCAACAAATAGTAAATCTTGATTAAATGAATAATAGCAATTAATAGTGACAATGCAGAAGAAATATTTTTTTTTTCTGAGTACTGACTACCAAGGAACCACATGGTCTTATGAATATACCTTTGTCTGTTCCAATTCTGAAGATAAACTTTCCAAACTGCTAAAACTCAAGAAGCGTTCATGGCTGGAACCTGTTTGAAAAAGGTATCTGACTACTGTTTCTTTGTTTGTTTCAAATCGCTCCCATTTTCTTAATGTGACCTAAATTTGAGAAAATAAACAACATATCAGGTTACAAATGACCAAAATGTGCCATAAAATATTGTCATATATCCACGTATTTGCTAAATGGTCAACTTCCAGTGAGCCCTTAGTTAAATTTCACACAGTCACACTGAATAAAGGTGATTCTAATGTCTTCTATGAGAATTTCCTTTGTGAGTCTAAATGTCTTCATTGACAAAAAGAGAACACACAAGGAGTAGATGATTTCTGAGTTCTTTGTCAGTTGTAAAGCCCTAGAAATCTGAAGATATTACTTAAAATGTAGATAAGTGACAAAGGAAAAAAATGCCTCTCAATCTCTTTTAGAAAAGAAAGGAAGCAAAGGAGAAGGGAGGGAGAGCGAAGAGGAGAGGGAGAAAAAGCCAAGTGAGCAGGTAGCAAAAACTCAAAAACAACTTTTTTAAAGGCAGTATGTCAACATCACAATAAAGCAAAAAGGTGGCATAAACGTGTGGATGCAGGACTTCGTGGAAAAAGTAAAATATGATCAAATTTTTGGATTCAGACAAGTGTGGCTTAAATCCTGGCTTTATTATTAATCCCTGCTGTGTAACATCAGGGCAAGTCCTCAAACTCTTTCTTCTCAAGCAGCCACACTTATAAATTTGCAAATTACAATACCTACCTCTAAGGCTGATGTGATGATTAAAGGAGAAAATTCATGTAGCCTATGTAACACAATGCTGGAGCACCAGAGGTGGTAACAAACGTTTGCTCCTGCTGTCATGAAGCCCAACTGGAAGTCAACACAGCCTGGCCTCCATTTAAATGGCCCCTGACTTCCGGGCCCTACCTGGATGCGGCGCTCCTGCCTCTCCCGGCTGCGCTCCAGGCTGTCCAGGGTGCTCTCCAGCTTCCGCAGCTCCTCCTGGCCTTGGCTGGGCAGCCCGCCTTCTCCCTGCTGAGCCTGTGCAATCTGCTGCTGCACGTCTTTCTTCTTTGCTGAGATCCCCTTTGTCTTTTGCTGGAAGCATTTATTCCACAGATAGATAGAAATTTTACCCTCTAAGCAGGGACAAAAACACCCACACTTAACAAAGGTACACAAAGTTACGTCTCCTGCAGTGTGGGCCCCAACTGTATTTGAAAGCTAAGACTAGCAGTTAAAATGGTAATGGGAACTCTATATTAGTCAAAGATGGACATTATTTATAAAAATTGTATGGTTTTTTTATGGTAAACAACATAAATAATTTGGCTTTAGTGTCTTAGTTGTGTGCAAATTTGTAGAACATTTAGCATTTCGTGCAGTACTCCAGAAAGAATCTGGCAAAACAATTCATTTGATATGATTCGTCTTAAATAATTATTTTCTGTCTACACACACAAAGTCTCAACTCCAATTTCTATTTTTATTATCTATGCCGTAAAAATGCTAATATTATGAAAATTTACTTCCTGAGTGTATTCAGAATGGTTAATCTGAGATATTTTGGGAAAAGTTGTGTTTTAAAGTAAACTTTTCATTGAAGTATAATCTTCAATCAGAATGATACACAAATCTCAAGTGTATAGCTTTTGAATTTTCATGAAGTACACACCCCCATATAATCAAGTACCTGGTCCAAGAAATGAAGGGTCTGGTGATTCAAGTAAATTATAATTTCCCAAACTAAAATGTGTTGGAAGTTGTACATTAAAGAAAAAGATTTTAACATAATGACAGAAGAATAGTGATTTCAAATATGAAACCATTTGTCTATCTCTGCTCTCCTTCTCTGTTATGAAAAGGGCAATCTGGCAAGTTTTATGCAGGTTTTCATAGCTGAGTCAATTGTCTCTCCACAGTATTCCTTGAGCTTTTTGATGTCACTGAATCACTCAGTCTGGGAATTTATCTTGTAAAATATTCTGAAATATTTAGTGTTTAACCGAGAGAACGGAAAACAGAAGTGTCAAGTTCTTTAACCACTCAACTGGGTTCCTTCCTGTGCCCACCTCATCCACTCCCCAACCCAGTGGATAAATTCCTCCTCTCTCTGTAACTAATCAACTTTATATAAATGCGTTGGAGTAAAAATGCATGTCTACCTGGTGATGAAGAAGTAACTGCTGTGCTTCAAACAGATTTTCAGTGTCCAAGATCTTCTCAGCTTGTTCCTGAACTTCTTTAGAGCCAGAAATTAATTCCTCAAGGGAGTTTTTGACTATTTCTTTGTACTGGACACAGTCCCCAAAGTTGCTTAACATCTTTTCAACCTAAATGTTCATGAAAAAAAGGTAAATGATATGCTACTTAGTGAAGTTCATGTAATCTTTTTTTATTGAGGTATGATTGACACACTTTGTATATATTTAGAGTATACAATATAATGTTTTAAGATATACATACACACACACACACACACACACACACACACATTGCAAAATGATTCCCTTAATTAGGCTAATTAGCCCATCTGTATCTTCTCACATATTTACCTGTTTTGTCTATGGGAGAATAGTTAAGGTCTACTCTCTTAGAAAATTTCAAGTATACAATATAGCATTATTAGCTACAGTGATCATTCTGTACATTAGATCTCCAAAACTTATTCGTCTTATAACACAAAATTTGTACCCTTTGATCAATATCCCTCTCTTGAAGATCATGCAATCTTACATATTTTAAGAGTATGTATAGTTAAAATCTATCTCAACCACTTGAAATATAAACACTGATCTCTAACTTTTATTCTCTCACATACTAATATTTTCAAGGCTTATTTCATTATTATTAAACTGCATGGTCTTTTAGGGGGATTGCAAGCCTCATTTGATGTGGTGCTCTGCTACATAGTAAAAACCCATTTGACCTGGCAATCAAGGCAGAATAAAAAAGCTGTATATATTGTGTATATTGTCTCCTGGGTCTCTTTAATTACAATCTCATGACTAAAACCTAATTGGGGCAGGCACTGGGCTTGTTAGCATCATTGCAGCCACCATGGCACGGACCGTTTATTGTACAGATGTCGGTGCAGATCTCTCGGCCATATGCCAGCGGAACATTGCCCTCAACAGCCACCTAATTTTAAAAAACCTAATTATAAAAGTGCCTTACAAGAAAGTTGAGTTTATCCCAGTTAAAGCAAATAAGAAAAAAATTTGTAGAGTTGAAAAAGAAAAGAAGAATATTTGTTGAAAATACACTTCCAATATTTCTACATAAAACATCAAAATAATTTTTATTTGTGGTTCTCTAGTGGATTTTCTTCCTTGTCATTTTCCTGAATTTTCAACTTTCTCTTCCATCTAACTTTTACTTCTTCTATTTCAGTTTCACCAATGTCTTTTATTTTCAAAGTCTATCCTTCATCTTCACTAAGACCATAATTTTTATATCTTCTCATCATTTTTTTTCCACAGAAGTCTTCTAGTTTCTCCTTCGCTTAGCCTATCTTTTTCTTTGACCCTCTTCTGATCTGAGTTTGTTGAGGTGTCTTGGAGCATGCTGTTCTCCCAAAAAGCAGCAATAAAACCCTGTGAAAATCATAAACTCCGTATCTCAGTAGAAATCAGTATAAATCCATTGAAAGAAATGACTCTTCGCTACGTATTGTGAATCTACCCACAGCCTCGTTTTTTCTTACACTGTACAATTGTAAACACTTTGTGTTCAACATTAATTTAAATACTAAATTGATTATTATCAAAGGAAGGGACTGAATATACCAAATCCACCTTTTCATATAAATTAATCTATGAACAGAATGTGTGTTTTTCCATTACTCTCTTTTTGCTTTCACTAAGCAACTAAGTAGCAAAATACAATATTAATATAAATTATACAGAAGTTTAAGACAGATGGGTGTATAAAAAATTAATGTCCGTATAAAACTTTGTTAGAGGTAGATTGTTGCTACAAGTCCTATGGGCAGTTTCATGAGAGCATTGGGAAGATAAAGCAAATGGCCTTTCTTGGAAAAATGTTAAGGAGACTAGTAACTTCTAATTTTAAAGGCTGACAAAATGTTTTGTTTTGTTTTGGTTTTGGAGGGTAACAAAAGATATTACAAATTTGTCTATCAGTATGACTAAAATCCTTTGTTAGACCTTGACTCAAAGATCACCTTCATATATGCCAACTTTTTAGACCATTACTCTTACCTTTACTCTCACCTAAAGAGGAAAGGAAAGAGTAGAAGAGACTAATGTCAAATTTTCACTTGAAGTATGGTAGTGGCAACCGACTAACCTTGACCGTTGCTATGGAAGATGGATAATCAAAGGATTGAAATAGTTTATGTTCTAAAATTTATTAATTATAACTCTTTTGAATTTGTCAAAAATTCTTAAGAAAATCATAATTTATGTATCAAAATTCTCACATAAAACTAAAATCACGTGCAATTCAGAGTATTTTATGCTTATGTACATTCACCACTACAGTCTGAAGCAGATTTACATGGATTAAAAATATAAAAGGTTAACTGACAAACTGTTAGATGAGGGACATCTATAGAGAATTCTAGATCTTCAGAGTCAGAGAGCTTTGTAGACATTTTATAGTCCTTTGTTAGATCATTTCTCCATACAAGTTTATATTTATACAATTTCAAGAAATAAATTAGTAAATATCTTTTCTACTTTACATTATTACATTATCTTCCCACACACAAACTCCTTATACTTTTACAAAAGCCTGGTCAGTAAAAATGTTCTTGCTGGTGGTGGAAGAGGCCCTCCTAGAAATGAAGTAGATAGATTTTTATATTTTAATCTATAAAGGAATGTAGATAAACATTGAAATGCATATCTAAAAGTTTAAAACGAGTAGACCTTGGCTAAAAAGAAAATTTTACTGGTCTGCCAACTAAATGTTGAATATTTTATTATTATTAACTACTACTATTGAGCATTTACTCTGTCCTAGGCACTATACTAAGTGCTTTAAATACATTATTACATTTAATCACTGACACTGCCTTTTAGAGTATTTTTAACCCTGTTTTATGAGTAAGGAAATCAAGGCTCAAAGATGTTAAGTAACGAGCTCAAGGTTACATAGGAAGTAGGGTATCAGATTTAAGTTCTAACCCTGGGTTTGTTTGACCTTCAAGCCTTGTTCTTAACCTCTATGATATACCTTAAACTGCCTATGAAATAACAACGCTTTTAAAAGGAGTGAAGAAGCGTGGATTTGATAAGCTTTGTGCTTTACGCATAAGTCATATTAACCTGAGCTAACATATCCAGTAATGGCACAAATTATCATAATTCAAACATCCTACTCCCTTTTCCCAACAATCTTTATATAAATAAATATGATAACTGTTCTGTTTCAAATACACTTTCTTTAAAAAATTACTTGCTAAACTACAACCAAAAGAAAGAGGACCTTGCAGATTCCTCACTCAGAACAGTCCGTCGAGAGTGTGAGGAAATGACATACCTCTGCCAGCAAAGTCGTGAGAGCCTTGAAAGAGCTGGATAGTTTCGCCAGCTCATCCCCTTGCTTCTGCGCTTCGTTCTCAGAAGAAACTTCAATCAGAGTTTTCAGCCTGGCTTTCAGCCAGCTGAGGGTCTCACTTCTTTTGGTAACACCGTTTCTGATCTCCTGGAATGAGAGGACACTTTTGATGAACAAGGCACAACTGTGAATCATAAGTTTCCAGCAGGAAAGGACTCAACCAAAGAAGGTTTGCAAGGTAGAGGGGAACAGAGACGGACATTCAATCACTAATAGCGCGCCTGCTTATTTTGCATTTCATACGCATCTTTAACAAAAGTCCACAAGTGCTCGG